AAAATATTATTACCGCTCCACGAAGGTGAGTGGGTGAGACTTCAGTGAGATACATCGGTGCGATGCCAGCGTTGATTCCGGAATTCAGCCCGATGAAGAACCGACCAGCAATGATCATCTCGTAAGAACCGGCCATCTTTGAGAATCCCAATAAAGCCGCGGCAACGAAAGCGAAAGCGTTGTTCAACAGCATACCTCCCTTCCTACACAACGAAGAGAAAGTCATTATAATATACACTCATCCCCCTTTTCCCGAAGATTTCATGTACAGTACCATAAAGGAAAGTTAGAAATTTTCGCCAGAACCTTGACAATTTATTTTACTAGTTACTGAAGCTAAGGAGTCAGAATTCTCCCAAAAACTCTTTGGGACCGCGATAAAAAGTCTTCGTTGATTGATTGCGATTTTAGTTGATTGCAGCCCTGACTTAAAAGCCAGCTTCTTGCTTACCGATTTGAAATTCAATAGAAACCCTTAATTTTTTCCTCACCGGCGCAGAACTTTCTAGACCAGAACAAATTTTCAAAATTCTAACAAGGATTTTAGATTCGGGGAGTTTCATATACACAGCGAAGTCGTACCCCATTATAATACGCCCCTAAAAAGTCGCAATGTCAATTTATTTTGAGAAACAAATCTTCCCAGATGATGAAAACGTTGGAAATCTTGTTAAAACGCCATCCGCCTTAAACACCGAAATAACTGACAACTCGAAAATTCTCCTGCAATTTAATTTTGTTTTCGATTGCCCGAGGATTCAAGTTTCTGTCAGATGCCTCCAATGAAAAAAAAAAACCCAAACCCTGACTTAATTTATTTATTGGGAACATTAGCTAGATATACTTTACGCATCACAGGATTATTTAGATTGCTTTCTAGGATAATGATAATTTTTATTTCCTATTATACTTGAATTCATATTATTCTAGCTTTTTGAAGAAAAAAAAAAAAAAAACCCCGACCGCCCCGTTTAATCGCCGAACCCCTTAAACCGCTACAAACCTCACAAACAAATGGTGGCGGCTTATCGGGTTTTGACTGTATAAATTATATATTCAGTATTCAGGTGGACTCTCTCTACAAGGAGCTTTTTCTACAACTAATTTCACTGTGTAACGCATTTGTTTGTCCCGTACGACTCTCTCCCCTATGTTATAGGGGTTTTTCTCTAAGAATAAATATTTTTCTACGACAAAACTTTTTTTCCGGTCCATTGAATTTCGTTGTGGAGAAAGTTCACCTTTATTACAGACCCTAGCCTATATTCTTCGAGGATTTGTTTCAACTTCAGCCCATCTCTCTAATAAAACCCGGACGAGCAAAAATTATGAAGGTGGTCAGCAGGGAATCATAAAAGATTACTCGCATAAAATATTACGACCATTCATCCCAAACGACAGCAATGAAATCACAAGGCTTCTGCGCGTTTTTAAATTTTTTTCTTAACGAACATATTATCTCACTATTTCCCGGCCCTACCTTCCAAGTCGTTCGGAAATCACGCCGGTCACGGAACCTCCAATCATCCCTCCGATGCAGAAAATGGAAACAGCCCATGACCAAATGATCTTCACTTGCGAGTCCTCCAATCCTTGGCCCGTCCGACGGACATTCGTTTCGTTGATGAACTCTTCAATGAGCTGGCAAAAAATATTAAAGAAAGAAAGAAAAAGAACATTCGAATATCAAAATTTCCTTTCGAAAGTTCAATCGTGCGTCAGTCGATGGGTGCAACGCGTCAAGTCTCAACGAGAAACCCGCTGGATCACGCGCCTTCATCTTCGTCTATACGAAAGCAATGGAGGAAAACCCCGGGTATGCCTGCCCATCAAGGGTGTTCCTACCATTCATCACCCTTATTCTCGTTGGTGTCGCTCTATGTGCAGCTGGAAGGCAAATATTGATTTCATACTAGACTGAGCGGCATAATTGAAGGCGGAGAAGATGGATATCCTCTCCTAGAAACCTCTAAAGTAAATAACACATTTCTGCGAAAATACGGATAAGTTCGACATGATACTGAATACATGATTCGCCCTGATACAGTATTACTCTTAGAAAATACCCTAACCGTGAATACCACCAAGAAGTTCTCATTAATTATCTGAAATAAAGAGGACAATAGTTTCCCATAAAAATATATTTCCTCCACCTCGATCAAGAATAGCCGAGAAATAAAATTCCCTTTTCTTCCTATTCTCATTTACTCGAACTACTTGAAATTTGATCAGAAAGATTCCGCAATGCACCAAGATGGGTAAAAAAATATTAAAGAAAGAAAGAAAAAGAACATTCGAATATCAAAATTTCCTTTCGAAAGTTCAATCGTGCGTCAGTCGATGGGTGCAACGCGTCAAGTCTCAACGAGAAACCCGCTGGATCACGCGTCTTCATCTTCGTCTATACGAAGGCATTGGAGGAAAACCCAGGGTATGCTTGCCCATCAAGGGTGTTCCTCCCATTCATCACCCTTTTTCACGCGGGTATCGCTCTATATGCAGCTGGAAGGCAAATATTGATTTCATACTAGACTGAGCGGCATAATTGAAGGCGGAGAAGATGGATATCCGGTCCTAGAAACCTCTAAAGTAAATAACACATTTCTGCGAAAATGCGGATGAGTTCGACATACTGTATGAATAATTCGTTCTAATACAGTATTACTCTCAGAAAATACCCTAACCACGAATACCAGCCAGAATTTCTCTTTAATTATCTGTAAGAAGAGAATAATAGTTTTCACATTTTTATATAAAGGAGGTGGAGCTAGTTCTTATCGGCTCTTTATTTTAAGGGAAAAGAAGGATAAGAGTAAATGAGCTTGATGAACTTTAAACTAGTCTTTCTAAGGCGTTACGTGGTTCTACCCATTCAACTCAACGACGCATAAAAAAAAAATTCCCAATCGTAATTTATGAATTGCGCGATACAGCACTAGTAATTATTTTTTGCTGGATTGCAGATTTATTTGTCGCCGGTTAAACTTTATACTATTTTCGTGCTCTCTGGTCAAAGTAGAGTTCTTTAATTTAGACTTCCCAGTCGCTTTTTCTGAAATTTAATTACTCGGGTCTACGATAATCCTTCATGAATGCATATGACTCTGTAAAAAAAAAATTTGCTTTCGTCTCCATCGACGATCAGAAAAGCCTCCTGAAAAAAATGTCCTTCCGCATACGAATTTTTTCCGGAGTCAAGAAAAGGGGGAAATTCATTGACGAAGCCATGTAAACCCGGAAGATACCGGGTTAGAAAGGCAGGCAAATGTCAATTCCTCAAAACGGAACCACCACATGGAAGCGTGAGACGGAAGAGAATGGAAGGAGGGTCACGGGGAAGATACAAGGGGGAGTTTGTGTCGGTGTCGGTGTCGGTCGACGACGACGAGGGACGTCGAGAATCGGGCTGCTGCTTCATGTCGAGTACCTGACTCGAGTCACGCGGGTCTTTTTCGACACCGGACTGAGTCTGCTCCGGGTATGTACTACAAGATTATAAGCTCAAGCTGGAAAGATATTATCCTCTCAAAACCAGAGAATTATCGCAATTCGACTAATTACGATTATCAAAGGCAACGCTGCACCGAGCAAAACAAAAATAAAAAAGATTGATCGTAATAATTAGACGAATGACGACTCTGGGACTTGTTGGTACAAGTCTCAGACTTACATTTAAGAGAGAAAATACAGTGTATTCATCAATTAAACTTATTTGAAGCTTCGAAATCCAAGTTCTGGAAATGAGGGGCGTTTTCAGCAGAATCCGAAAAGCAACCGGACATAAATAGCAAAAAAAAATCCAGTGAAAGATTGAGGAATAAAAGATAATTAAATCTATGGAGGCACGGTAATTAAATTAGCAAAGATTAACCAATACTTCGACCAGAGACTTTTATCGCTGTATTCTTTTTGAAGGCAAGAGCAGACAAAAATCCGACTTCGAAATGAGAGTAATATACAAAATAAAGTTCAGCAAAAATAATCGTGATGCGAGAATAAATACAACGTTTGAATATGAAAAGCTCTGAAGGAATCATCGCTCTCAAAGCAATTTACCGAGTATAATCGTAGTATTCAAGACTGAATTCTATCGCTTCCTAATAAATACTCGTCTCACTTCTCTATTTTACGGGTTCTTTGCAAGTAACAATTATATATTACGAAAATAGATAACTTATGAATTTACTATAGTACATCCCTTCCATCCTCCCCAGAATTTAACGCAAGAGTAAGTTGACGTTCGTTATGCATAATAAAGATTAAAATCTACGTTAAAAGCCATTTTTTCACAAATTTCTTCACGAGAACCATGTTCCTAGACTCCTACGCGGGGGTTTCGGCACAAGAATACTTTCAAAAGGTCAATAAAAATCAATATCAACTCTCATCTAACGTTCAGTAAGGCCTGCTTTCAAAAATGAAATAATAATACAGCACAAGTCACGTTCAAAGCCTTGAACCGTCGTCGGCCTTCATCGCCTTGTCGTCCGTTATCTAAGAAAGACTCACGAAAGTTACTGCAGTCGTCGTCGAATACCAAAGAGACCGACCCCGGCCCACTTAAATGGTTCTCTGGGTTTGGGGGCGGATTGTGCGCAAGGGAAAGTAGGGACGATGAGCACACTTGTCCCAGAGCCCAGTATCATATAGCTAAAGACCTTGGGTCTCGTCCTGTTGCCGTCGCTCCGGCCTTCTCTCTATGTCTAATTTAGCGTGCGTCCGTCCTCCTGTCGTTTATAGATATGAGTTATACGAAGATCGTGGAAAACTGCAGTAATGCGTAGTGTAAGGAACAAAAGAAAAGGTTTCTTACTTTCTATCCCTGGAAGTTCAGCAGTGCTTTGGTTAAAGGACTTCATCCGGCCCAATAGGAAGTACAGTACTTCATCGGAGAGGTGAATAAACCCATCAACAGAAGTCGATAAAAAAGGCACTTGGTTCAAGAAATCCCCCAATTTCGAACCTGAACGGAATTACTAATTTTATTTTTGCGTACCCTCGTACCTCTTTCAAAGATTTTGAACTGAATTAAAAGTTCAACATGTATTATTGAAGAACGGAGAAAACAGTCAATCAAAAACAAAAAAGCCATCAACACCATCAAGCTTTTCTTCATTCAAAAATGCATGCTTGCAGCTACATTCCCATCAGTGACTTTATTTATGAATTGGGAAATTCTCGAATTTATGAAATGGGAAGGAAACGTGATTTCCATGCTGTTCATTACTTGAAACAATAAATTAAAAGTGTTAAATCATCGCTAGTGAAAATCGGTGGCAGCCCGAACAAACAGCTTTTAAATCCATCATCGCAGGCACAAATTATCCGTGGTATCACATCATAATTGGTAGACCTTCTCTATAAAAATATTCGGAAGAGAAAACATTCAATGGACAAACGAATGTTTTCTCTTCCGGGGAAACATTTTGCTCCTAGAGAAAATTCCTCAGTATAGTACCTTGAGTAGAAAGTACTTGCTGACCTTTTCCTCCTGGAATTTTTTTTTTCACAAAGCAATACTAAAAAATTTAAAAAAAAATTAAAAATCCTTGTCAATAAATTTAGATGATCTTTCACTTCGCGGGTTTATTCAAAGTGAATGGAGAGAACCGTTGAAACTATTCTGTATTCGAATTTGGGTAAATAATTTCAATTCCGTTCCCACACATTTTCTCTAACCTCCTGTTTCACGACGACGAGCGAATTTTCGAGCCAAAGCAGACGGCGCAAAATCGATACGACCACCACGGTTTAAAAAGGGGGAAATCCAAACAATTATTCCCATCTTTTGCTGAACAATACTAGTTTTTTTTTGTCTCTATCCGGAATCATGGAATTTAAAGGTTCGTTCTTCACGTTTGTTCTTCGCCAAAGCGAGAAGAACCGTGATCTTTTTCCGGAGCACGTCTGACGTCATTGCCCAGACGCTTACGCATACGAGAACAAACAGCGGGTCGAGCCTCCCGTCAAGTATTATTAGCAATTGCATTTGTCTGGAAGCGTTGCCAGAAACACGCGAATGACCTCAAACCACCGAGTACTGAACTCTGAATATTAACGATATGAATTAAAACGTTTCGTGCATAATTTCTTCAATTTCTTGAAGGGCATTTTACTGGTCTTATTCAAAAAATGTTCGCAAGAATGATTTTAATGAACCGAACATTTCGATGTTGAAAAACTTTCGAAAATCAAGTGCCGCTATTATATAGACTTCCAAGGATTACGATTGGCGATTCAACAGTTCTTCCGGTCAGAAAAATTTTAAGGAGTTCTTTCAATAATAAAATGATACTATATACATGGAACTTCTACGAAAAGCGTTCAAGAAGTATTAAAAAGCCGGCCATTCCGAAGCTTCGAAATTGAAAAACCAAATGCCGCTGCAGATTATAAGGAGTTCTTTCAATAATAAAATGATACTATATACATGGAACTTCTACGAAAAGCGTTCAAGAAGTATTAAAAAGCCGGCCATTCCGAAGCTTCGAAATTGAAAAACCAAATGCCGCTGCAGATTTTGATGGATTTGCGGATCAAAAGTTCTTCCTGAAAGCGAAAAAGGAGTTATTTCGATAGAAAATATTTTCTGCCAGAATCCTCCGAATGAATGGGACCAATTAAAAGAATTGAAATAAATCTCCCTTAATTTGTCCAGGGATTTTCTTCCACTGCATCCCTGGCACAAATAATTAATTTTATAATCCACAGTCTGGCTTCTTTTCGTTTTGAGCGAACTTCAGCTTCAACATCAGGCATAACTCTCTATATTCATAAACCTTTCATTTCAAAATAATTTTCTGAGCAAGAAAATGGTCATACAAATTTTCCGAAATTATTCAAATACTGTACAGTATCTATTTCCGAATGGACCATGGAAAAATGGCACCGTGGCATTCGTACCGCATTACCTTACCATGAATAGCTGTCATTTCAACAAACTTTTACAGTATAACATTATTTCAACCAGGGTTGGAATTGGCGAAGAATTGCGAAAGAGAGCAAAAATGTTGCAAGGGAAGCAGAAACTTATAGAACTCGGGAGCAAATCCTAAAGCAAGATTGCTTCTCATTTGATTTTTCCATCGCAGCAGCCGTTAAAATAATTTGATAAGCGCAGAAATACTCGAAATATACAATTTTAGATTGTGTCAACTTACTTTTTGAATGTCTTCGCCTAGCGAAATATTCAGATCAAAGAAATTCAGTTAATTTGCTCACTAGAGAACGCAGAATTATTTCATTTAGGAATAGACATCCTGCCTCATACAAAACTTCCTTACAATTACTTTTATTCGCGAATGAGGAAAGTGCGGTAGTTTTATTTACTAAATACGCTCTCTAAAATATCCGATAGCAAACAAACTATCAATAATTTAAATTAAAATGCTGTGGAATGATAAAAAATATTGACGCAGCATCCGATACAAGACTACCATACATTATACTACCATTTTTTCGACTGCTGTCTAAAACCAATTTCAAACACGTGTGACATTATTTGAAAATCTTCTCATAAAAATGTTTGCGTGAGCGAACACCCACCTCACATAGACATCGATTCAGATAATTCTAAATGAAAAATGGTCACAAAAAAAAACGATAACGAGAGGCATGCATAATTAATTTTACAATAAGTAAGTAAGAACGCACTCAAATTATTTCCTACATGATACCGATTTCCGTCACGCACCGGAACGTTAAAATTTCCACACGAAAATTAATTTGCCATTCAAGCTGATCTCAATTAATGGTTAAGTAACGCTGTGAGGAATTCAACCTAAATGTAAAAATTACACGAGAAGTTGTTAGCTTCCTCACACTTAACCGAGCTTATGTCCCGAACGAAATCGAGTAAAAATTTATTCGAACAGGTTCCGTAGCCGAAATTCCAAAAGCCAACAAAAGTTCTATAACATCTATGCGATCATTTTCAATAATTAAAAAAATTATCTGTTCAAAAATTAAAAAAAACCGCGGCGTTTCCTCATCTGAAGCTCAGAATAAAATGCGATTTATTTCAAAACTAGAAAAAATACCTCCGTTCAAAATATCAAAGAAAAAACGGCGGCGTTTCCTCATCTGAAGCAATCTTGCTTTAGGATTTGCTCCCGAGTTCTATAAGTTTCTGCTTCCCTTGCAACATTTTTGCTCTCTTTCGCAATTCTTCGCCAATTCCAACCCAGGTTGAAATAATGTTATACTGTAAAAAAAAAACAAAAAAAAAAAAAAAAAAAAAAAAAAAAAAAAAAAAACCGCGGCGTTTCCTCATCTGAAGCTCAGAATAAAATGCGATCATAGAAAAAAAAACCTCCGTTCAAAAAATAAAAAAAACAAAAATCGCGGCGTTTCCTCATCTGAAGCTCAGAACAGCATTTCATACGAAACATTTCGGAATATTTTTCCTCGATTTTTCTACTATCGTCGGGAAAATGTCTGATGATAGGAAAAATTTGCCTCGTCCCAGAGCAAGTCATTAATTATCTCTGATGCATGTTACTCACGGCTTGAGGTGCGTTGACGACGCCGGTGTTGTAACCATGCTGGAAGGCGGAGCCCAAAGCCACAGAAGCGATGGCGAAGGCAAGACGTCCGTTCAAACCCTGTCAGATGAAGAAGACAATAAAAATCCAATTACCAATTAAATCAATCAATGGCACATTAAAATGAGCTGAAGGAGAGAGGGAAAAAAAAACGTTGAAGGTGCAAAAGTGAGGGCTCTTCAGTGCATAACCCAATGCTGAGCTGATTTGTAGCGAAGTCGTCGCAGCAGTTTCTCAAACTCGCTCGCATTAATTAATCACTGCTCGGGAATCAGCATTATTGATTCCGTTGATCGGTTTCTCATCTTAACTCACCGGTTTGCGACCACGTGCCATTGCGAACGAAACGCCTGGACTCTGAACAATCGGTTCTGACCAATAAGGACGGAATTCCACCTCTATATTCGTCGAAAGCCCGCATTGATTCACGGTGAAGACATTGAAGGACCCCGACAGTAAAGAACCCGGCAATTAAATGATGGAGTGCAACGGATCAAACGGAATAGGATTAACAAAACGGGAAGACAGTTTCAAAAATATTCGTTTCAGAGTCACACACACACACACACACACAGGAGAAGCGTTGTGATACAGTTTTGCTCTTCCGTCATGAAGCAATACTTCTCGGAATTTGCGATGCGATTTTTTTTCAATAGACATTCGTCCGGGAAACATCACCACGAAGTATATATTTCTTAGGCTTCAACAGTTACTCGGAAATATTCCATTAGTTCACACCAAGATTCTTCCTTCGAAATGCGAGTTAATCAAAGAACTGATGCCCGCAGGTGTCTTCCAAGCGAAAATTTTGCTATAATAACCTGATTTCTGTGGCATCGAGGCACATCAGCTTCACGGAACTGGTTGTCAACAAGTTCATACTAACGGACACCTTCTTTTGTTTTTGATCGAAATTGTTCATGTTTTTTTTGCTTGAAAAGTGCAAGAACCCTCCGAAAGAACCGTACCCTTTTTTCCTAGACCCACTTTCTCTGAAGTGTCGCATGGGCTTATTATTTGATCCTTTTCGCTGTAAGAAAACCACGTGGAAAATAAATTTTCAGCCGAGCACAAGACGAAAGAGGCACACTCATCATTTAACGAATATCTTATTGCAAAGAGGTATAAAAGGTACAATAAAAAGCATTCCTGGTGTGGTGCTTTATATTTGTTTCAGTCTAATATACTTCGAAAACCATTCAATGCTTGATGGAGAAAACTAGTTTTAAAGGAAGAAAAGGTGGTACGGTAAACTGAGCGGTCATGGATGATTTTTCCTAAACCCTGCTTTCAGCGATTGCCTAATTTCTTTTCAATTCCATGTTTCTCCCTTGAATTAAAAAAAATTGAAACAACAAAAACGCAAATAATGTTGATGCTGCACGCAAAAGAGAAGGTAACCGCATCCGATGTTTACGTTTTCCTGCCGGAAAACGTTTCGTATCGGGTAATATTTATATTTCATTCGTCTGAAACGTGGTTGACTTTGCCAAGTACCCATTTGTATATAGGTTGAAGGATTTGCTGTCAAAAGGATGAGTCGCTTCGTCACGGTCTATGAAACAGACACATTTCGCCAACTGATGGATCATATGATCAAAGTGAACGTGCAATTTTTCGTAATCAAATGCCATGCTTTGAAAATAAGAAAAAAGAGGATATTTTCTGATTAACCTTGGGGTTCTGAAATCTTTTTCGTTCTTCAAACAACTTTTATGAAGTCAACATTATTTTGGTTCCGTTTGGAAAAGGTTCGGAATGATTCCAGTCGACGCGCAGGAGAGAAGGAAAACATGAAAAATTGTTACGATCGAATTTTTAAATTAACCGCACACAGATGATTTTTACCTCAAATCAAAGTTTAATTCATCAAGTCGAAGCTACAGTATTACTTTTCGATTTGAAAGTGCCTAGTAGATTTTTTGTGTGAACACTGCTAAATTGTCCTCAAGACTCTCAAATCCAGTGTTTCCCAACCCGTGGTCCGCAAAATATTTTTCCGGCATGCGGGGAATTTTCTGCAACATAATGAATTTATCAAAAGCAACAATGAAAGTCTGTTTTCTTTACCCAAAATTTTGCAAAAATAATCGCGGAGTTGAAATTATCTGGTGACTAAATAAAAGTTGGCTTTTCTCGCAACTAACACTTCAGACAAATTTTTGCATGCTGAAATATTTTTTTTTTCATCCTGAGAAACCTTTCTAATTTTTAGAAGACATTTCCATTGCTGCTTCATTGATTTTTTTTTTACAAAAAAGCAGGAACTTTTCAATTACCTGCCATAAACTCTTACAAACAAAACTTTTTTGAGCCTGCAAAACATGTGTACGAAACTTTGCTAGCCCGCAGAAAAATTTTGAGGAATTTGCCGGTCCGAGAAAATTTTTTTGTGGAAATTTGCCGGTCAGCAGTCCCAAAAAAGTTGGGGAACACTGCTACAATCTGTTTTGGTTTTAATAAAATACCCCTCATCCTCATCAGAAAATGGTGACCTGTTTGGTGAAGCTAGAATAACATGTGCACCTGATTGGTTATAAATCCGAACTTTCAGAAAATTTTGAAAAATGTTGATGCCCAGGTGTGGCTGGGCACCTCCAGCTTGTATTTGAATAAACGTATACGATTCCCAAACGTCAAGTTCACTGTGGTTAGTTTAGTCATGCTCGATCTTTCTTCGTTCATCGCTGCATAAACGTCCGGATTTATCTGCGGATTTGATCTTGGTGCTTCTCATGAGGAAATGATGGAACTATAATTTTTTTTTTCCTGATGATGAAACCTGCCCCTGGCTCCAGACGACTTTTATGTTCTTGCCATCAGGACTCGACTCGGATCAAGACTTACAATAGCGGCTCACTTCAAACGGAGTAGATGCGTAAGTTTGCACTGGTTATGAAGTTCTCCACTTGCATTCGAACGCGGCACAAAGCTGCAAAAATAATGCCTCCAAAGAGTTGTTACTGATTCAACGATTCATGAAGGGATTGCTCAACAGTACTGTAATTCGCTTGAGTACTTGCAGAACCTGACGACGAGGAAGAGGAAGAACGTCTTGCTCAACTCATTACAATAACTGATTTTTTTAAACAACGCGGATAACATCAGCTCAAATTTGATCTACTTAAAAATCTGAGCGAAAAGATGCTTAAAGCTCTCATCCGAGAAAACAAGCCCCTAGATTTCTTATTATCTCAGAAAATCTGTTGCAACTCGTTCGAGCATCAGAAGAATTTTGCGGGTATTTTTTTTAAATTTAAGATACCTAGGGTGTTTTTTGTGAGCCCTGCGGCGAGAATCTGAACGTGCAGCGATAGTAAAAATAATCATATTCAAATAAAAACGTATTAATGAACTTCCGCCATGCCAATACTGTGATTGAATTTTTGGTTCATCGAATTTGCGAAAAAAAATTCTCGTGATTTAAACTAGCTGATTCATGTAATTTAAACAAAGATCATTCTGATTAATGATCCGAGCAATTTCTTCACACTGACATACATAATTTTTCTTTCAAAGCAAAAATGCGGATCATCGCACAGATAAGTTTGGTATTCTTTTGAGAAAATTTCCAGTACGAAACTTTTCTTTTTTGTTGTCACTGAATTAAATCATGATTGTGCAACTCAGCCTCAGGGAAAACCTCGAAGCTGGAACACCTGAGCCAAAGGAAAATCAGCTTCATCGAAACCCACTCCATCTGATACCCTGAGGCTGTAATTATCCACCGACACATAATTTAAACATACTAATTGCTTAATTATAACAGCAAAATGTACTCGTCCGAAAGGAAGGTCATTAGAAATGGATTGGATAACGTCGTTATTTCCTCTTTGAACTTTCTATTGGTACCTGCCGCGTTTTATGAGCAGTGATGCAGTCATATCTCTATAAATCCTAAAGGGTAAACGCTTTTATTTTTAATAAATTGACATCCAGTCCCTGAATCGGCACCCTTTTCATGTTGAGGATTCATCTAATCTTGGGCTATAATATGGCTCCAGTGATGCTCAATAATTAAGATCATCATTAAAGCTTTTATCTTTGAATAAATTGCCATCCAATTCCTGAATGGGCACCGTTTTGGTGTTGGGTTAATTTATTCTTGGGCTGTAAGTTGGCTCCAGTGATGTCCTGTAATTAAAATATTACCTAAAGCGTTTACCTTTGAATAAACTGACATCCAAATATCGGAATGGAAACCCTTTCAATGTTGAGGTTCATTTAATCTTGAGCTAAAATATGGCGCAAGTGATACCCATTAATTAAAATCTCAATCAAAGCTTCTATTTTTGAATAAAGCGAAATCCAAATACCGGAAAGGAAATTTTTTTTCAATGTTGAGGTTCATTCAATCTTGGGCTATAAGAGGGCTCATTAAGTGATGCTCAAAAATTAAAATCTTGATTATCAATCTGCGAAGCCTTCTTTCCAAAGTCTGATGGAGAGTGACTCTCTTGCTGCACCCCAGTGCAAGTCAAAATTTCTTCAACGCAGAAAGCACAAAATTAGCTCCCTTTTTCAAATTTTCCTTGAATTTCCACGATTGGCGGAAATTCAATGGCGAAAAGCGCTAGGATGAAAACGACGGTCTCTCTCTCGAGTGTTTCAGATGCAGCACACGGCAAGCAATTAGCCAAACACATGCACACGCAACTCGTGGGATGAGGGTTCACCAGGTCAAGCAAGTAAAGCATGTCGGGTCACAGGGAGATGGAGGCACAAAAAAAAGAAGAAGAAGAACAAAACTGCAATGAGGCACACGACCCGAAACTCACCTTCCGCTGAGCTCTTTGCTGGCGCTCGGTCATTTCCGTGCTTTCGCCGGCGGAATTGTGCTCTTCATCCGCCAGCGGCTCTGTGATTTTCACTTGCTCTTGCGACATGACGTGCAGGGTTAGTTTTCTTTTTTTTGCACAGCACAAATCTTCCAAAAAACAAAACCACAAAAAAAGAGCGCGATTCGCGCGTGTCAGCAAAGGGGCAAACTGGCGCTCAACTACCACTCTTTAGGCTTCGATAAGCACGTGCTCGCGACGTAAGCAAATTTGAGCCACTCTCATTCGCGCTCGCAGCAGGGAATTTTGCACAAGTACCCTGGTGCTTGTTCTTGTTTTTTTTTACCAGCGTTTGTTTGGAGATTAAATTAAGCCAAAGTCCATAAACAGACGAAGCATGCATAAATATATATATATATACATCGCGTTTGTGGCCGAAAGCAGAGCCCAAGGACTCCTCGCGGTTGCGCAGTCGCGTGATGAAATGTTCTGCTCAAGACGAGGTTACTCGGGCGGGCTGAAGTTGAGGGGGGGGGGGAAATTATTCAAAAACCTTGTCAATTTGAATACTATCGACTTGAGTACGAGGAAAATGAATACGTTATCGTGGGCATCTAGTCATTGAATTTAGATATGTGTATAGCGGAAGGGCTGGGGTAGCATAAGCTGCCAAGAATAAAGCAGGGACTGCTTTCATTATTGCGTTTATATATGGTTCACTTCTGGTTTTGTTTTGGACACATCACATTAGAAAGGAAAACTTGACGCATTGCTTCGGATTGAAAAGCTTTTTTTTTCTTTCCAATTCAAAATTGAATGCTCGTAAAAGAGGTGATTTACTGGACAAGATCTTCCCATTTTCCTCGACCTGGAGATCATTCGCAGGAATATTGAGAAGGACTTGTTTCGAAAGAGGTCGTCTGAAAGTGATGATCGCATGTTTTTCTATTATAATTATTCGTATCCAAGGACCTGAAAATTAAATGATATTCACATTCACATGTGAAGCTAAAGATTGGATGAGACTTGTTTGATGAAATCCACATTATTATTTTTTGCTTCCTTGCATTCCCAGTGCGCAAGAAGTTCTCTCATTTCTATAAAAATTGTTCAAAGGCTAAAATATTATTTCCGCTCCAATCAGCCATTCAAACTAAATTTTATCAATGTTGGCTACAGCTTATTTTACTTGATGCATCTGAAAATTGGGCCAATTCTTGGTTCACACAGATTTAAGATGTGGTGCGAACATAAATTTCGTTCCGACCGAAAATTAAATTGAGGCGTGTTGAAATCAGTTTCATCCATAAATTCAAGAAGATGATAGGGTGGATGATTGCATCACAGGTTTTGAATCAGCAGTAGTTGTTATAAATACATTATAGTAAAAAAAAATTGGCCCAGGATTTCAATCGAAAAAAGCCAATTTATGGCTGACCCGGATTTGAATAATGTAAATTATAGATTAGTTGCTGAATTCATAACTATTCCAGAATTCAAAAATCTGTGAGACATTTTTTATCCACAATTGGATGCCAATTCCAAGAGAAAATAAAAAGCCCAACTTTTGTATGTTTACATGTCCTTTGGCCTGCCTCGGTATAGTGATGTGAGAAAAGTGCATGTAGAAAATGAAAAGAGAAAAGAACCGGGCACTGAATAGAACGGATATAAGCAATGTGGGTGAAAAACGTGGTCACAGAACACAATTCATTTCTGTACTACTACTATTACCGTACTACTCACGTGACCTTTTGAGCGCTATATATAGGTTCCCAGATTGCGTAATATTGATCCATCCTTTGTTAATATCCGGTGAATGGTGTGTTTCTGCCTACAAATATATCTAAAAGTCTGGAGTAACTTGGCAGATGAATTCTTTCGGGGTCTATAGGAAATAATTTCCTGTCTCGATTTATTGTATTTTCATACCCTAATAGACCCCCCCCCCCCCATGAAATAAATTCAAAGAGCAAGTTTTCGGACCCTCAGAACATCGAATTATTTTCTTTTTTCAATTTTTTCGATCATTTCATCCTCAGGCAGTCATTTCTTTTTTCAACAAAACCCTGATATGATAACGGGCAGGGATGGCCCTGTTTCCTCACGTTGGCGCAGGGCTGTTGAAGTCTTATTGATCCTATCCCTTTTCTGAGCAGTGCGCTTCCTGGTGCCGCTGCATTACTACGTATAGCGTGCCCATATTCTTCAGGGCAAAAACGTCTCACTTACACATAAAAAATAAAAAAAAACGCATTTTCTCCAGCTTGCAGGGGGGCTATAACAATGTCTGCTGGTGACATACCTGTATTTTTCTTGACAATTTTCATTACGTAATGTATTATTGTGGCGGACTCATTAGCTTTGTAGAAATATACTGTAGCTGACAAATCGGTTTGAATTACCCCATGCGAAAATTTTAAAGGGGCAACAATATTAAATTGAAAATCTTGGAAAATGCGTGATTACTGCACTACTGCAAAACTGGTATTGGGCAAACTCAGCAGTTCGCAAGAATGTTTTATGACATAATGAAAGCTTGATTTTGACTACCTTGCGAGTGTTGAGTTCTGTATTTTATATTGACGTCACGCGGTTACTGAACTACTAATACGCAAATATTGATAACCAAGCAGAGCATCAATAGGGAAACCCGTGCTCCCTTCTTTTCTAAATTCTTAAAAAAAAATAATTATGATGTATAAATGCTCTTCGACTTTGGTTTGAAGTCCAGTTGAGCTTTCCTTCAGCTTCTGCCTTCACAATTTGTTTACAGAGCACCAACCCATTTTGATGTACAGTGAGGCCCCCAGATGCAGATGTACAGTAATTGGTGCATCAAGGGTGTCCCTAAGTTGAAATGTCCCCAAGTCAAGTCTTGTTTTCCCATTGATTTACCTTGTATATTTTTAAATTGATGTTTTATGGAACAAATATTCATCAGAAGTCCATGAAAAGAATTTGTTGTCGTTGAATTTGGAGCATTGAATAGTGTAACTCTGTACAGTGTACATTGAAATATCGGCATACGTAAAAAAATAACATTCAAGTCGCAAAGAGAGAAGGGAGTCTGTATGCTGTAGAATTGTAGATAATTTTTTAATCAGCTGAATGGATGAGAAAAATGATGAGAGAAATACCATTGCATTTTTCTTGCATGAATCTTAGGGCTGGAAATAACTATTTCTTGCAATTCAGCCTGATGAAAGTTACTTTTCTGGAAACTTATTGGCTATTTTATCATGCTATGTCTGCATGTTGAGTCAGTGTCCGCATGCTGGGCCTTTCTTTATGCCTTTTTAATTGAAAAATAAATATCCCTACGTTGAATTGTCTGCACGTCAAGGTGCCCGCATCTGGGGGTCTCACTTTAAATCAATTTGTTGGGCGACGCTGAGGCACATTGGTTGTCACTCGCGCCACGTGCAACAGGCAAGAAAACACTAAAAGTCCTTTCACGTCGTCGATCAGTTAAAGAAATCAGCCACTGGCTGGCAGCACCGAATCAGCTGTGTTATACGTAGTCTAACCATCGAAAATCCCCCCCGGGGGAACAATGCAGCTCCTGCAGCCCGCGCCATGGACTGACCATGCCCCGTACATACATACAAGGAGAAAACCTGGCCAGGGGAAATGCTGCCCCATTCACTGGAGGGAGTGGGTGCAGCTTTCCCGCCAAAGTCTGTTGTGCTGTGTGCTGTACAGAGTGGTTGAAAATAAATTCAGGAAAGCGAGATTTCCTGGGGCTGAAACTCGGCAGGGTTATGTGTAATGCGAGATTTATTCAAGCAGAAGAGAGTACAGTATTGTATCTCCAAAACTGAGTGTAGATACAGTATACAGGTACTCGTACTCGTGTGTACCTGTATATAAAGGGTCATAAGTACAGTGATAGATTGGTAAATTTCACGGAAGTGTTCATTACCAGGAAAGGCTGTAAGCCAAGTCATACAAATGGACTCTCTCTATAACACTTTTTTGTTATTGGTCCCATAAGGTTCTCTCCCCATGTGGGGGTTTCTGCAAGGAAATGATCTCCACAAAGAATTTTTTTCTGGTCCCTTGAATTTTGTTGTAGAGAGAGTCAATCTGTTTAAGGCAATATAAAGGGAAGCTTCCTCATAAATTCTTGAATAAATTCGTAGATACGAATTGAAAGGGATTTTTTTTTTCTGTGGACCAGCAAATAAAATTCTGTGGACCTCCACCATCGCCGGTGTCATCAGAACGTTATACCGAGTCAGTGAAAATAAATTCTGCAAAGCAATATTCTACGGCGTGAAATCCTGGAGCTTTATTTCCTACTCTAAATTACTCAAGTTAATTATTTCAATTGAGATAGAAGAGCGTTCCCTTCAAAATTAAGTGCACATAAAAGGGGCGATAGCTGAGTGACGTTTCGGCTAATTAAAGTGATCCATTTCAGTCCGAACTCCGAAGTTCATTTAAAAAAAAAAATCTATAAGATGAGTGATGAACGGCTATGTAAAGGAAGCTTCCTCGTAAATTCTTGAATAAATCACAAAATGAATGCATATTCGCCGTACAGCAATGTTTTAAAAGATCAGCTAATACTCTCGAAAAGCAAGGAGAGCAGTACAAATTTGGATTCGCATCGGAAAGAAATTGCCTCCTGCCAATTGTGGAAATATTTTTCAGAATCCGTTCCCAATACAAACATCATGTACATATTTGAGACTCACAGAGAAGACATAAAACATGAAAGACTCTTTTACGTATAATTTAAAGGTTCAACAAACTCGAAACATTAATTTGAGGCATATATGGGACGAGTCCTGGCTTGAAAATAGGGACACAGTAATAAATTAGAGCTGATTCTCTGCATTTCTGAAAAGGTAATAATTTTCTTGCGTAAAGCGCGGGTTTGTGCTTGAAGACGACTTAGGCATTATTTTGTATCCTCTTTGATCAACAATCTAAATTACAACATGAAACTCAAGCGTTTTCAACCCCAATAATGAGGGAGACGTAAACATTTCAATTATTTATCCAATTCAAGGATTCGGAGGAAGTGTCTGCTTTCAAATTGAAAAAAAAAAGTATACCGGAGGATGTTATGTGCTTGGAAATCTGATCATACGCAACGT